CTCTCCCTCCCAGTTTGCACTACAAAACCCCTTGTCGACTTCAGTAGCTGCAGTGGCTGATAGAGTTACTCAGCAGCAGAAGATGATTGATATTCTCAGGACTAATTTGGCGTAGGCCCAGAATAGACAAAAGCAGATGGCAGACAGGCACCGCACGGAAAGAGAGTTGCAGGTGGGCGATGATGTTTATCTGAAGCCGAGACCATATAGGCAGACCTCTGTGGCTGCCAAGGCGAATCAGAAGCTAGCTACTCGGTTTTATGGGTCGTTTAAGGTGATTCAGAAGGCGGGAGCAGTAGGTAATAAGCTGCAATTGCCTCCAGGAACAGTGATACACCCTGTTTTCCATGTTTCCTTACTCAAACGGGCAGTGGGAGATCAGGGAACTGTGCAGCCGTACTTGCCAGAGCTGGATGCTGATGGGAGTTTGAAGGTGGAGCCTGCGCAAATCTTGGCCAGGAAGGTTGTAGCTAAGAACAACTTTCCTACTACTCAAATCTTAGTCCAGTTGACACATCAGAGGGAGGAAGATGCTACTTGGGAGTATCTTGAAGATATTAAGAAGAGATTTCCTCAGTTCCAGACTTGAGGACAAGTCCTTGGCAAAGGGAAGGGGAGTTGTAACATTCGTGGTCATTTGAAATTGATTAGGAGTTTGGGTACTTAACGGAAATTTGTACTTTGACTATAAAAGGCCAAGTCAGAGGCTTGTAACGACATTGAGAAATAACAACCAACTTTCTCTCCTACTTCTTCTATCTCCTCTCTCTTACTTTCCCCTCTCTCTCCTGTTCCCTCTTCTTCTTCCCTGTTCGTTCCAGAATCTAGTCGAGTTCCAGGTCTAGGCGTAACAAAAACCGGCTTAAACTGGTTGAACCCCGATCCGACCATTAAACTCGAACTCCTTACCAAAACAATTTGATGGGTTAATCCGGTTTGACAATCTTGCTTGTGAGCATTTTAACTTTTTTCGAACCTCATAGGTTCGTTTGTTTTTGACTCGCTGAGTTACCGAGAGAAGGAGATGTAACCAATGGGTGAAATGGGATAGGAACAGAAGATTGAGGACCATTTTGGATATTTGTCATTTTGTATAAAGGAAACCCGCGAGAGACGTTGTAACCACTTTTGGCTGAAATAACAACTTTACTCTTTCCCCCCCCTTTCTCTCTCTTCTCTTCTCTGGTTCTTCCTCTGAAACCTCTTCTTCTTCCTAAATCCTCCATTGCCGAGACTTCTTCTTCCCCAGGGCGTGACAAGGTGGTATCAGAGCTTTGTCTTGGCGTACTTCGATGACGAACACAAGAGGCACGATCGACGAGCGTCTCACCGCTTTACTGGCGTCCACAAATCAGGCACAAGGTGATCTCGACGATCGCATCACCAATGTTCAGGGCGTTCTCACGTCTCAGGCGGCTCAGTTTCAGGAATTACGGACTCGTTCGGAGGGCCATTCCCTACAGTTCGTGACCTTGATGACGCGTCTGGAATCCATGGAAGCTAACTCAGCAACACGTTTTGCAGATCTGGAAACGAGCTCTGCTGCTCGGCTCGCAGACTTAGAAGCCCGACTAGATGATCGTTTTGGTCAATTCACACAGGAGATTCGTAACTTGCTACAGGCGGTGGTTCCTCCTCGTCCGGCGGGAGGTGTGGCCGGAGCTGTGTTGCTGCCGATGGACCGAAATGCTCGTGGTATTCTTCCTCTACCTCAGCACGGTTTCCGTGGCGTTGACCCTGCCGTGGCACAGGCGGCGAGGGCTGAGCGTGATGAATTCCACGTTCCGGCGCCAGGTAACCAAAATCAATTCCACCAGCTTCCCCGTCTTGATTTTCCGCCTTTTAATGGCGACGATCCTAGTGAATGGACACGAAAGTGCGAGAAATTGTTCGAGATTTACGGTATTCCACCTGATCAGAAGGTGAACTTGGCGGTGATTTACTTCCAACGGAGAGCTGATCTCTGGTTCGAAGGCTGGAAAATTGGGAGACAGGAACTGAATTGGGAGGAGTTCGTGGGGGCGCTGTGCCAGAGATTTGGGAATCGAACTTATGGCGGGGTGGTAGCGGAGTTCAATAAACTCCGTCAACGTGGCTCCTTGGCAGATTATCAGGAGAAGTTCGAGGAACTACGGTCTTTAATGTCACGTTTTAACCCTGCTCTTGATGAGATTTATTTCATCAGTAGTTTCATTAGTGGTTTGGATGAGGAACTGCGTCCAGTTTTACACATGTGGAAACCACAGACACTGGCGGATGCTTTTCAGTTTGCTCAATTGGAGGAGGAGTCGAATTTGGCTAGGCAGAAGAAATGGCGTAGCAGTCAAGGGATGTCCACTCGTCCCATGGTGGCTTCTACTAGCACCAATCCCACACAGTCTCGTCGCTGGGAGGCTGCGAATCCCACAAAACTTGGAGCTGGTAACAAGTCCCCTGTGTTGAACCAGAAGAATAATGGGGCAAGGGGTGTTTGCTATAAGTGTGGGGATCGCTATTTCTTTGGTCATGTGTGTGATGCAAAGAAGCAATTGAATAGTTTGCAAGCTGAAAATGAGGAGGAGTTGGCTGATTCTTGGCACAACTTAGTTGAGAATGAAGTAGTTGACTCTGATGTGCTAGAGGAACATTCAGAGATGGAGGAGGTAACAATGCAAGCTTTGAATAGTGGTGGTATGGCTAACTCACTCATTGTCCAAGGTAAGGTGAAAAGTGAGAAAATCTTCATTCTGGTGGACACGGGAAGCACACATACTTTCCTGAGTGATAAAAAGGCCAAAGAACTGGGTTGTCATCTGGTTCCAGCTAGTAATCCTTTGAGAGTGAAGTTAGCTGATGGTACTGTTCTTCTCAGTGATATGGTTTGCAAAGGATTCTGTTGGGGAATGCAGGGTCACTCTTTTAAGTATGACATGAGGATTCTGAGCTTAGGGTCAAACGATGCTGTGTTGGGGCTAGATTGGCTGAAGACAATTAGTCCAGTTAAGTTTGACTTCATTGGATTAAAGCTGTTCTTTGACTGGCAAGGTAAAGAAGTGGAGTTAGCAGGCATCCAAGATTTAGCACAGTGTAAGCTCATATCTGGGAAAAGCTTACTGAAGTTATGGGACAAGTCTGAGATTGCTTTCATGCGACAGATTTGCAGTCTGCAACCTGTTACTCAGGAGGCAAGTCTGGCTACCATGAGTCTATGGAAGGACCAACCACCTGATTTCTTGGAGCCAGTTTTACAGGAATATGGGGATGTTTTTGGGAAGCCTAAGGGTTTACCACCAGCCAGAGATTGTGATCACACAATTCCCTTACAGCCAGACTCCCAACCTGTCAACCTCAGACCTTACAGGTATTCAATTCCACAGAAGGATGAGATGGATAGATTGGTTAAGGAGATGCTGGAATCTCAGTACATTCAACACAGCCAGAGTCCCTATGCCTCACCTGTACTATTGGTGCTCAAGAAAGATGGTTCTTGGCGTTTAAGTGTCGATTACAGGAAGCTCAATGACCTCACCATTAAAGATAAGTTCCCTATCCCTGTAATTGATGATTTGTTGGATGAACTCAGGGGGTCAAAGTATTTTACCAAATTGGATCTGCTGTCTGGTTATCATCAGATCAGGATGAATCCTTCTGATCAGCACAAAACAGCATTCAGAACCCACCAAGGATTGTATGAGTTTACTGTGATGCCATTTGGCCTTACAAATGCTCCTGCAACTTTCCAAGCCTTGATGAACAGGATTTTCAGCCCTCACCTCAGGAAGTTCATTCTGGTGTTTTTTGATGATATCTTGATTTACAGCCCTGACCAAGACAGTCACAAGGAGCATTTAGCTGCTGCCTTGTCCATTCTCAGGGCCAATTCATTGTATGCAAAACCTTCTAAGTGTGCATTTGGCCAAACTCAGATCGATTATTTGGGGTTTATCATCAACCAGGATGGTGTGACTACTGATCCAGCCAAAATAGAAGCTATGGTAAAGTGGCCTGTACCTAAGACAGTGAAGGAGTTGCGTGGCTTCCTGGGTTTAACTGGTTACTATAGGAAGTTTATTAAGAACTATGGAGTAATTGGCAAAGCTCTCACTGATCTGCTCAAGAAGGATTGCTTAAAATGGTCAGAAGCTGCACAGGAGGCTTTCACAGCTCTCAAAACAGCAATGGTTACTGCTCCAGTATTGGCTCTTCCTGATTTCTCTCAGCCCTTTGTTTTGGAGACTGATGCAAGTGAGTTTGGCATTGGTGCTGTGTTGTCTCAGGGTGGCAGACCTTTAGCCTATCACAGTCAGGCTTTGGGGCCAAGAAAACAAGGTCTCTCTACTTATGAGAAGGAGTACCTAGCTGTCATCTTAGCAGTCACCAAGTGGAGACATTACTTGGAGGGAAGACCCTTTAAGATTGTCACTGACCATGAGAGTCTCAAGCATTTGCTTGGCCAGAAGATTCACACCCAGATTCAGAAGAAAGGTTTGGTGAAACTCTTGGGATTAGATTTTGAAATCCAATACAGGCAGGGTAAGTTCAATCAAGTTGCTGATGCCCTATCAAGACACCCTAATTTTGCTACTTCTATGGCCAAATTGGGGGAGTGCTGTCCTATATCTGCAGTTTTACCCTCCTAGCTTTCTGAACTGGAAGAGACTTATGTTGGGGATCAAGAAGTACAACAGGTAATGGTGGAGGCTGCAGTTCCAGTGATTGGTCCAAAACTGTTTTGGATATATCAAGGGCTCCTATATCATAAATCTGCAATCTTTGTGGGGTCAACTGGTTCTATGAGGCAACAGTTACTTGGTTTGTTCCATGACTCACCAGTGGGTGGTCATTCTGGAGTGCAGGCTAGTTATCAAAGGATTAAGAGGTATTTTTGGTGGCCTGGTATCAAGAGTGATTTAAGGAACTACATTCTGCTATGTGATGTATGTCAGAAGTGCAAAGTGGAAAACATTCCCTATCCTGGCCTGTTACAACCCCTGCCTATTCAAAGTGGAAAACATTCTGCTATGCTTGATTATCCATATTTTAATGACTACTCCAAGGACTTCCTTGTTAGATCTTGTGGGAAACTGTGGATTCTGGATAGGATCCTCATGAAGCTGCATAGAACAGGACATCGGGTACTGCTCTTTAGTACTATGACAAAACTTCTGGACATAATGGAGGAGTATTTGCAATGGAGGAGACTAGTATACAGAAGGATTGATGGTACAACTAGCCTTGAAGATCGTGAGGCAGCTATTGTAGAGTTTAATAGTCCTAATTCTGATTGCTTCATCTTCTTGCTCAGTATTCGTGCAGCTGGAAGGGGGCTTAATCTTCAATCTGCCGACACAGTCATCATCTATGATCCTGATCCGAACCCCAAAAATGAAGAACAGGCAGTTGCAAGGGCCCACCGAATTGGACAGAAAAGGGAAGTAAAAGTCATTTACATGGAAGCAGTAGTCAACAAAATCCCTAGCCATCAGAAAGAGGATGAATTTGGAAGTGGAGGTTCCGTTGATCTAGAAGATGACCTGGCTGGTAAAGATAGATACATGGGGTCCATCGAGGGCCTCATAAGGAACAACATTCAACAATATAAGATGGACATGGCTGACGAGGTTATCAATGCTGGGCGTTTTGACCAAAGAACAACACATGAAGAGAGACGCATGACTTTGGAAACACTGCTGCATGATGAAGAGAGGTATCAGGAAACAGTGCATGATGTTCCGTCACTTCAACAAGTGAATCGGATGATTGCTAGAAGTGAAGAGGAAGTTGAGTTGTTTGATCAAATGGATGAAGAACTAGACTGGGAAGAGGATATGACCAGGTATGACCAGGTGCCTGAGTGGCTTCGAGCCAGTTCTAACGATGTGAATGCTGCAATTGCGAATCTCTCCAAGAAACCATCAAAATATATGTTATCTGCTGGAAATTTGGTTGCACAAGCCAGTGAAAATGAGCCCCGAAGGGGGCGACCTAAGGCAAAGAAGTCTCCAAATTACAAGGAAATTGATGACGATAATGGAGAATATTCCGATGCTACTTCTGCTGAGGGAAATAGATATTTTGCTCATGATGAAGAGATAGAGATTAGAGAATTTGAAGATGATGAATCTAGTGGTGCTGGTGAGGCACAAGCAATCCATAAGGACCAGTCAGAAGATGAATTTCCAGCATGTGATGGTGGGTATGAGTATCCCCGGGCTTCTGATGGTATTAGAGGCAGTCGAATTTTAGAGGAAGTTGGTTCCTCGGGATCATCCTCTAATGGCAGGAAAATGATAAGGATGGTGTCTCCGGTTTCATCCCAAAAGTTTGGATCTTTGTCTGCCTTAGATGCAAGACCAGGTTCTCTTTCTAAGCGGTTGGTACGTTTATGATTCTGCACTAGTATTCTTTTATGATATTATTATTAAAATTTTACCCGATCCCTTCATTATCTTCTGTTTTTGTTCTCCAGCCAGATGAGGTGGAGGAGGGGGAGATAGCGATGTCTGGAGATTCTCACATGGATCGCCAGCAATCAGGAAGTTGGATTCATGAGCGTGATGAAGGTGAAGATGAACAGGTCTTGCAACCCAAAATAAAACGGAAACGAAGCATTCGGCTTCGACCCCGCCATATTGTAGAGAAGACAGATGAGAAGCCTGTTAACGAGGTTCCACGTGGAGATTCCTGTCCTTCACCTTTCCAAGTGGAACACAAGTATCAACAGTTGAGGAGTGATCTGGAAACCAGAGAAATAAATGCTGTAAAGAATGATCAAACCGATTCTTCGAAAATCAGGCGAAATTTACCCACTAGGAGAGCAGCTAGTGCATCAAAGTTGCATGCATCATCACCAAAATCAGGGAGGATGAGTTTGCAGTCCCTTCTGTCACATGTGGCAGATGACATGGCGCCAACAAGGTGACAACATGGCGGCTGCACATGTGGCATGTATGGAAGACTAGTAGCATAGAGATGCTCCTAGGATTCTCTACCTAAATGAGAGCTTAATGGTGCACTTATGGGCTACATTATGGGTAGCATTATTAGAGTGCATTATGGGGGGACTTTATGGGGTGTATTGATGTAGAGGGACCATTATGAGGGGCATTGATGCCTTGTATGAGGAGAGGTCTATATAAGGAGCCATCTCTCTCACTTGTAACTCATTCCATCATTTTTGAGAGTAATACACACTAGAGAGTTCTCCCAATCCTTTGTATTTGTTCTTGTCTTTGCTTGCTTGTGAGTTTGAGAGAAAGGCTGCCTAGCGCTCTAACGGAATTGAGAGCTAGGGCCGCACGATCGAGAGTAAGGTCGTGACAAGTGGTATCAGAGCCTGGTTCGACTTTGTGTTTGCAAAGTAGAATCAATAGCCAGAAGGAAAGGAAGAACCTCACCAGAAATGTCGGGATCAGAAGTCAATGACGATGAGAAGCATCGTGGCAGAGAGCCTACCCCAGGCGGAAGGCCAAAAGACAAGTCGAGCACTCGTGATCCTCTCAGGTCTCTAGAGAGGCGAGTCTCGAGGATAGAGGTGAAGATTTCTGAAGATGTCACCGCCATCGAGGATTTGGGAGCTAACTTCGCCCAAGTCGAAAGCGATTTTCAAGGTATGAATGCTCGTTTGTCGAGATTGGAGATCAACCATGATGGGATGCGAGAAGAGCTCGTGGCTCTCATCACCAACACCATCTCCGAAACCGTGAGCACTGCCATTGCGGTTGTGAAAGAGCATGTCCAGGCTGAGCTGGTCGGCGTGAAGGAGGAGATTGCAGATCTCAAGAGTGAGGTCACTCTCGTGAAGAGAGCCATGGCTAGCGGACCAGCCACGGTGGAATCCGTCCCACGTGCTGATATTCCAAGACCGAAGAGCTTCGGAGATTCAAGGAATGCGAGGGAGTTAGAGAACTTCCTTTGGAGTCTTGAGCAGTACTTCAAGGCGTCCGGCATCCAAGAGGATGAGGTAAAGATTCGTACCGCTCCACTTTACTTGGTTGATGTTGCCATGGTGTGGTGGAGGCGACGTGAAGCGGACGTCGAAAGAGGTACTTGTGTGATGGTAACGTGGGAAGATTTCAAGAGAGAAATCAAGAGGCAGTTCTACCCAGAGAACGTGGAGTTTGAAGCCCGTTCGAAGTTAAGAAGACTCACCCAGAGGGGTGGAGTTCGAGAATACGTGAAAGAATTCTCGGAGCTGCTTCTAGAGATCCTGGACATCACGGACAAGGAGGCCATGCACGGCCTTGCAACTGCCATGGCCACGGCGGAGTCTTTTGTCGAGTACAAACGACAAGAGAGCAGCGGCAAAGAGAAGAGTTCGAAGCCCAACAAGGGTGGAGAACAGCAGAAGCCTTTCAAGGAGGGTTCTCGCACTCAACAACACCAAGGTAGTTCGAGCAAAGGGGGTAAGTACGAGCCAAAACCCATGACTTGTTTCCTTTGCGACGGACCACATCGAGTGCAAGGAAGGCGAGATCGGCGGCCATGGAAGCTCAAGATGAGGAGCCCTAGGCGGCGGAGGCCAAGATTGGCTCAATCCGCAAGCTTGGCGCGGTGAAGACCGACGTCAAGGAGAGCAAGCGGGGGAGGTGTTATGTTCTGGCGCAATTCATGCAAGGCGAGTCAAAAGCCTTGGTGGATACCGCTGCCACGGACAACTTTCTTCGCATCGAGGAGGCAAACCGGCTGGGTATTACCTACGAGAAGGGGCAAGGGAGGCTCAAGACGATCAATTCGGAGTCCATCCCGATCCATGGAGTTGCTCACAACGTACCAATGAAGCTTGGCGAGTGGGAAGGCCTCATCGACTTTTCCTTCGTCACCATGGACGATCACCCAGTCATCATCGGCATCAACTTCCTCGACAAGGAGGGAGTGCTCTTGAAGCCCAACTCCAACACAATGTGCTTGGAGAAGGAAGGGGAGTTTCATGCGGTCCATCTCTTGAGAGAAGATGGTCCCCATAGTGCTCTATCCGCTATGCAAGTGGTGAAGGGGTTCAAGAAGAATGAACCAACCTTTCTTGTGTCCTTGAAAATGGAGGAAGAAGGAGGTTCAACGGGAATCACAACTCCCATCATCGAAGGCGTCCTCGAAGAGTTCGATGACGTGATGCCATCGGAGTTGCCGAAGAAGCTGCCACCAAGAAGAGAGGTGGACCACAAGATCAAGTTGGAGCCAGGAGCGAAGCCCCCTTCGCGAGCACCATACCGCATGTCGCCACCGGAATTAGAAGAATTGCGGAGGCAGCTCAAGGACTTGGTGGACGCCGGCTACATGCGGCCATCGAAGTCACCTTTTGGAGCACCGGTGCTGTTCCAAAAGAAGAAGGAAGGGTCGTTGCGGATGTGCATCGACTATAGAGCCATCAACAAGTTGACGGTGAAGAACAAGTGGCATATTCCCAACATTGCCGACTTGTTCGACCAGCTTGGAGATGTGATGTGGTTCACCAAGCTAGATCTTTGCTCGGGCTACTATCAAGTGCGGATAGCAGAGGGCGACGAGCCAAAGACGGCTTGTGTGACGAGGTACGTCTCTTACGAGTTTCTTGTGATGTCATTCGGTCTCACCAACACACCAGCCACGTTTTGCACTTTGATGAATCAAGTGTTCGAGCCATTCTTGGACCGGTTTGTCGTGGTCTACTTGGATGACATCGTTGTGTATAGCAAAACACTCGATGAGCATGCCAAGCATCTACGCCAAGTCTTCCAAGTCCTTCGCGACAACGAGTTGTACGTCAAGAGGGAGAAGTGCACATTTGCCGCCACGGAAGTTCCATTCTTGGGGCACGTCATTGGTGGAGGCAAGTTGAAGATGGATGGAGCAAAGGTGCAGGCAATCCAAGAATGGGAGCCGCCGACGAAGGTGCCAGAGTTGCGGTCATTCCTCGGCCTTGCCAACTACTATCGGAGGTTTATCAAGGGCTACTCCAACATTGCAGTGCCCTTGACGGATCTCTTGAAGAAGAACAAGGCGTGGGATTGGTCGGAAAGGTGCCAAGAAGCATTCGAGGCCTTGAAAGCAGCGGTGACGAAGGAGCCCGTGCTCGTGCTCCCCAACCCGACGATGGCCTACGAAGTGCAAACCGATGCATCCGACTTCGCAATCGGGGGCTTGTTGATGCAAGATGGGCATCCCATTGCCTTCGAGAGTCGGAAGCTCAGCGAGACGGAGAGGCGATACACCGTTCAAGAGAAGGAGATGACGACCGTGGTGCATTGCTTGCGCACATGGAGGCACTACTTGTTGGGGTCGAAGTTCGTAGTGAAGACGGACAACGTGGCAACGAGCTACTTTCTGACGCAGAAGAAGCTCACCCCTAAGCAAGCAAGGTGGCAAGACTTTTTGGCCGAGTTTAACTTCGTCATGGAGTACAATCCAGGCAAGGCGAATTCCGTTGCCGATGCTCTTAGCCGCAAGAGTGCAGCCGCAAGCATCAGCCACCCCACGTTTCCTTTGAAGGAGCGGATCGTTGAAGGCCTTGGCCATGACCCCTTCGCCAAAACCGTAGCGGAGTACATCGAGCAAGGTAAAACTCGGTGGTTTTGGATGAAGGATGTGCTCATCATGACCAAGGGAGAGCGGGTGTTCGTGCCAAGATGGGCCAACTTGAGGAAGGAGATCATGAAGGAGTGCCATGATTCCAAGTGGGCGGGCCATCCCGGCATCGAGAGAACGCAAGCGCTCATCGAAGAAGCATACTTCTGGCCGCGTATGAGAGACGACGTGGAGATGTATGTGAAGACTTGTCTTGTGTGCCAACAAGACAAGATGGAGCAGAGAAGTCCGGCAGGCTTGCTAGAGCCCTTGCCCACGCCTCAACGACCATGGGAGAGTGTAAGCATGGACTTCATCATCGGACTTCCTAAAGTCGATGGATGCGGTTGCATCATGGTTGTGGTGGACAGATTCTCGAAGTATGGAGTGTTCATTCCTGGGCCAAAAGACTTGACGGCAGAGGATGCGGCACGTCTATTCTTCAAGAACGTGGTCAAGTATTGGGGCATTCCTAGCAGCATTGTGAGCGACAGAGATGGGCGCTTCACCGGCAGATTTGGGTGAGATTTGTTCAAGATCATGGGCTCAAACTTGAACTTCTTGACGGCATTTCATCCTCAAAGCGACGGACAGACGGAGCGGGTGAATGGTTTGTTGGAAGTGTACTTGCGGCACTACGTGAGTGCAAACCAACGAGATTGGGTGAAGTTGATGGACACGGCACAGTTCTCCTACAACTTGCACCGCAGTGAGTCGACCAACACGAGTCCATTTGAGTTGGCGACGGGGCAGCAACCTTTGACACCTACGACGGTGGCAACGGGGTATAGAGGCAACAGTCCGGCGGCCTACAAGTTCGCTAAAGGCTGGCACGAGAAGATGGAGATGGCCAAGTCTTACTTAGCCCGCGCTAGTAAGAAGATGAAGAAATGGGCGGACAAGAAGAGGCGGCACTTGGAATTCGAAGAGGGAGACATGGTGATGGTCAAGTTCTATCCTCATCGCTTCAAGCATCTCAAGAACGTGCACAAGGGACTGCTTCGCCGCTATGAAGGGCCATTCCCCATCGTGAAGAGGATTGGCAAGGTGGTATACAAGGTAGAGTTGCCGACGCACTTGGAGATCCATCCGGTCTTTCATTTGAGCCAACTCAAGCCTTACCACGAAGACAAGGAGGATGAGCAACGAAGGGAGTCGCAATGCGCACCAACACTCGTCACCAAGACACACGACCATGAAGTCGAAGAAATCATGGCGCGTCGTGTCATTCCTCGTCGTGGCGTACATCCAAGCTTTGTGGAGTACTTAGTCAAGTGGCGCAACCTTCCGGAGAGTGAAGCAACTTGGGAGAAAGAGCTCACGCTTTGGAAGAACAAGGACTTGATCGAGGCATTCCATCAAGAGGACGCGACGAGGGCGTCGCGAGCATAGGTGGGGGAGGATGTCACATGTGGCAGATGACATGGCGCCATCAAGGTGACAACATGGCGGCTGCACATGTGGCATGTATGGAAGACTAGTAGCATAGAGATGCTCCTAGGATTCTCCACCTAAATGAGAGCTTAATGGTGCACTTATGGGCTACATTATGGGTAGCATTATTAGAGTGCATTATGGGGGGACTTTATGGGGTGTATTGACGTAGAGGGACAATTATGAGGGGCATTGATGCCTTGTATGAGGAGAGGCCTATATAAGGAGCCATCTCCCTCACTTGTAATTCATTCCATCATTTTTGAGAGTAATACACACTAGAGAGTTCTCCCAATCCTTTGTCTTTGTTCTTGTCTTTGCTTGCTTGTGAGTTTGAGAGAAAGGCTGCCTAGCGCTCTAACGGAATTGAGAGCTAGGGCCGCACGATCGAGAGTAAGGTCGTGACACTTCCCTCTGAAGATGTTGCAGAACATTCTAGAGATAGTTGGGATGGCAAAGGGACAGGTCTGAGTGGTACTCCAGTGGTGGGAAATAAGATGTCTGAAGTTGTGCAGAAAAGGGTACGTCTTTTCTATAGTAAAGTTTGGGAACTGGATCGCCATCAGTTTTGGTTCCTAAGCTTCCAATAACTCATTTTCTTATGCTATCCAACATATAAACAACGAATATGATAATGATTGACTGACTTGGAACATGGTTGCTGGTTTATTCCTAGGGGAAGCTGTTTCGTAAGAAAAAATGGGGGAACTTTTCCTTTTCTTGGCTGGGATTAGAATTTAAAAAATGATACCGTTCATAGTTTCTAGTTTGTTTGGGCTAACTTAGTTGCCTGTGAAGTCGTAATATGCTAGTCATCCGTGTCTTTCCTGTTGGTCATAACCATTTGCATTCACGTTTATCTTTGCAGGAGTCATGTATTTCAACTATTAATGTGATGTTCGATCGTTCATTTGTACTTCCCATGAAGCTTTTGTTCAAATTTTGTAGTAATGATTTGGTAAACTGTAATTTGAAATTTATGTGGATAGCGAGAATGCTACTTTGAACAAATTATTGGAAGTTGTTTGGTGATGTGTTTGTCTATGTTTAGTGCATTTGTAAATCATCATTTAGTAGTTCACTGTGTGGTTGTGTTGTCATTTATAATTGTTTATTTAAAAAGCTGAGTTCATTTGCCTCACTATTTTCACAAAGGGCAAATTCTCCATAGCTCGTGGTTGAAATTTAGCTCTTAAGATGTTTCGGATTATCATTCTCTTCATTTTGCCCTTCTCTGCATCTTCTCTGCACTTTAGGTGTTTTCTACTGTCATATGAGCTCACACGAATTCTTTCTTGTAGCAGTGTAAAAATGTGGTTGTCAAGTTTCAAAGGAAAGTTGAGAAGGAAGGTCAGCAAATTGTCCCTCTCCTAGCTGATCTATGGAAGAGGATTGAAGCAGGCTGTATGACTGGTGCTGGAAATAATCTCTTGGATTTAAGGAAGATCGAGCAGTGTGTCGACAGTTCAGACTATGGTGGAGTCATGGAGCTTGCTTTTGATGTTCAATTCATATTAAAGGGTGCAATGCAGTTCTATGGTTTCTCTCACGAGGTATGCTTGCCATTTGGCTCGTCAATGGTTCCTTGGTTGTAGCATCGTGTGGAGGATTTTGCCATGATAATTGTTAGACTCATCGACTAGCTAAATATCTCTTTTTTTTGTCAAGTTTAGAGGCTTGGGCTGCCGGCAAGTAGCAATTATTTCTCCTTTTAAGTATAAGTTGCAGTCTATATCAGATTGCATGCCCTATGACTCTGATCTGTTTGTGAATGTATTCAATCATTCGTGTAGCGATAGGAATTTGTTTTTGTGGCTTTATATGTGGAGAAATTTCTGGAAGTTGAACATATGATTTTAGAGTTATCCTTGATCCAATATAATTTTTAACGGAAGGAAAAAGTCTGAAGTTTGTGTGTTTACATGATAATGCAGGTTAGATCTGAAGCAAGAAAAGTGCACGATCTATTCTTTGATCTCTTGAAGATAGCTTTTCCAGACACAGATTTCGGGAAGCCAGAGGTTCACTGTCGTTTTCTGGGCCAGCACCACCTACCTCCAATGCTGTTCCATCTCAAAGACGGACAGTGGCAAGCCAAAGCAAGAGACACAAGCAAACAAATGAGGCAGATACCGATGCCCATAAGCCAATTCCTCAAAGAGAGTCTTCTAACCTTGGAGAGGACGCAAGGATGTGTGTCCAGATTCCTCTGAGGGAAACTAGGCAGCAAGGGAATGGAAGTACCGGGAACCGAGAACAGCAGCAGGATGATTCCCCGTTGCACCCTGGGGAGTTGGTTATGTGCAAGAAGAAGAGAAAAGATCGGGAAAAGCCTAGGGCTGGATCAAGTGGCCCTGTTTCCCCCCCTAGTATTGGGAGGAACATTATGATGAGTCCTGGGGCAGGTTTGATCGGCAGAGAAGGAAGACCGAGTCAGCAGCAGCTCGGCAGCAGCGGCCATAAGCCACAGCATGCATGGATTAACCAATCTCAAGCTGTAAATAATAATGGCGCTGCTGGCGGTGGTAATGCTGGGTGGGCAAATCCTGTGAAGAGGTTAAGGACTAGACGCGGGTAAACGAAGGCCGAGCCATTTGTAATACGTAGAATATGTAAATATAGGTTTGTAAGAGTGTAAACGTAGAATATGTAATGGAAGAGTTGGTGGGGTGTTGACGTTGTAACGTATTAGCCACGCGGGAATTTGCGCCCAAGAAACTAGATTTTAGGTACGTATTGCTCACCCCGAACTCCTCTCATTGTACACAAATTACCACTAAAAAATCATTAAATACCACATTGATTATTTTCGAGGAGTGGTAGTGATTTATAAGGTCAACTTAACCATATTATTTAAATTGGTTTAAACTAGGCCTAAATGATAGTATTTTGGGCTTCATACCAGGTACCTCAACACACACTACTTGACCCACCAAACACCCACCCGTCACGCAAGAAGGGCCAAGTGTCAAACGTGTTGACACCTTTCAAACCTCAACTACCCAAGTCGGCATGGTGGGGGCAAAATTTGGCCAAGTGTTAAGTCCCAACCACCAGGGGGGTCAAGCCTAGGGATGGCAACAAAACCCGAATCCACGAGTACCCACCCTACCCAACCCGGTCAATGCGGGTAAAACCCGTGTTGACGGGTTTTGGGCCGGGTTTGGGTTTAAACCCACTACACTATTTATCGGGTTGGGTTGGGTTTGGGTTTAGGTAAACCCGACCCATGGGTACCCGCCCACACGCATATAATTAATTTTTCCGGGTTATTTGCAATATATCTTTCTTAAATAACTAATCTTCTTTATGTTTGTGGAGACATGTCTAATTTATTCTTTCTAATTGTGTATAATGAAGTTGATATTATATGGTGGAGAGTGAAGAAGTTTAGTTGACAAGGAGGAAGGAGCTTTCAATTAATCATGTTGTTTATAGATGTTTATCTTTAATTTTGAACAATTTGTATTGGTAATTTCGGGTTTGCTTGTATGCTCTAGATTAGTGTTTTTTGTAAGGATAATTTTTATGAGAAAATTGATGTTAGACTTTTATTTTGAAAGAAATTTGTTATTGTAAATTTTTTACCACAAAAATCCACGGGTGCCCATGAACCCGCGGATACTGTCACGGACCAACTCTTGGCCGTGCGGCACTTAGCACTCAAGTCTCGTTAGTGCACTAAGTCAGCCTTGCTCGTATTCACTCAAACTCACAAGTATGGAGAAAAGCTCTAGAGATGGAAAACTCTCAATTTCTGGATGAATGAAAAGTGATGGAGAGGGCTCCTTATATAGGCATCCTCTCCACTAAGTACAATGTACATGGCCGTCATTAATGAACGAACCTAGAAGTCCCCCCATACATGAACTAGCCCCATACATGAATGTAATAAATAAGGTGCATGAATAAAAGATAGGAAAGGGGGGATGTATGTACATTGGTGCATGAATTGCAAGATGCATGCATGTACCTACATCCTTCTAGAATGCTCTAGAATCTTCTCCGTAACATTCTCCCCCACTCAATCTCGCGACGCCCTCGTCGCGGACTCCGCATGAAATGCCTCGATCAAGTCCTTGTGACGCCATAGCGAAAGCTCCTTCTCCCATGTGATGTCGCTTTCTGGCCGCCCTTTCCACTTGACAAGATATTCTGCGTAGCTTGGGTGAACACCCGCCTAGGCACAACACGATGAGCCAAGATCTCCTCCACTTCGTGCTCATGTGTTGTGGTGACGAGTGTTGGTGCCCTCGTCGACTCCTTCCGTGCTCCATCTTCCTTGTCTTCATGATATGCCTTCAATTGACTCACATGGAAGACGGGGTGAATCTCCAAGTGCGATGGCAACTTGACTTTGTACGCCACCGTGCCAATCCGCTTCAAGATCGGATATGGCCCTTCATATCGTCGCAGCAGCCCCTTGTGCACATTTTTGAGGTGCTTGAATCGATGAGGGAAGAACTTCACCATCACCAAGTCTCCCTCCTCGAATTCCAAGTGACGCCGCTTCTTATCCGCCCACTTCTTCATCTTCTTCTTTGCCCGAGCGAGATAAGACTTCGCCAACTCCATCTTCTCGTGCCACCCTCGTGCAAACTTGTAGGCTGAAGGGCTGTTGCCCTTGTACCCCGTCGTCACCGTATTAGGTGTCAACGGCTGTTGCCCGGTAGCCAACTCGAACGGACTCATGCTCGTGGCTTCACTTCGGTGTAAGTTGTAGGAGAATTGGGCTACATCCAATAGTTTCACCCAATCCTTCTGGTTGGCACTCACATAATGCCTCAAGTAGACCTCCACCAAAGCATTGACACGCTCGGTCTGCCCATCCGTTTGAGGATGAAAGCTCGTGGAGAAGTTTAGATCGGAGCCCATCATCTTGAACAAATCCCTCCAAAACTTGCCGGTGAAGCGGCCGTCTCTATCGCTGATGATGCTAACCGGGATGCTCTCAAAAG